CTTCCATTTTGAGTCCCAAAAGCAGAATTTCCGGTGCTTTTTTAAAAGAACATTTCAGTATTTTTTGCATTTCATTGTGGACTTTTGTCCAAAAGTCTACAGCTTTCTCACAAGTCCACCACATGTGATAAAATGAGCCCTCATGCCTCTTACATTTCCAACATTTGTTTGACATATTTTGATTCATATTTGCAATCTTCTTAGGTGTCATGTACCACCTATACATCATCTTATAACAATTTTCTTTAACATTAGTACATGTCGAGATCTTAATAGAGTTTTTCCACAAATATTCCCAAGTTTCCATATCTACTTCCTTATTCATATTAATAGCCCATTTTAACATTTGTTCTTTAACAGTTTCATCTTCAGTATACCATTTTAACAACACCTTATACATTTTAGAAATATTTTTTCCTCGGTATTTTGTTTTTTTAACTACTTCACATTGTACCAGTTCTTGTAGTTCCACTTGTCATTAAGAATTGCTTTTGATACTATAGGACACTATATACTATAGCACAAATTAATATTTATTGTACTGGGTTTCTGGTCTCTATAATGACCACCAGAACTAATTCCTATGGGAGTCTAAAAAATCCCTTTATAATTTATTCACTTTTCTTGCAGCTGAAAGTCTCCTGGAAGTATAAATACAGAATAATACTGAACGGTTCACCTTTGTCCTTAATTGCTAAATCAGTATAAAGTATATGTGTTGGTAAATATGTTGGTTGAGAGCCAGTTTGGTGTAGTGGTTAAATCTGGGAGAACCGGGTTTGATTCCCCACTCCTCCACTTGCACCTGGCTGGATGACCTTGGGCAAGCCATAACTCTGGCACAGCTGTTCTTGAAAAAGAGCAGTTGTCTCAGCCCCACCTACCACACAGGGTGTCTGTTGTGAGGAGGGGAAGGGAAAGGAGTTTGTAAGCCACTCTGAGACACCTTTGGGTACTGAAGGGCGGGGCATAAATCCAATCTCTTCTTCTTCTTCTTCTTAAATGACTGTTTTCATCATGTTGGGATCATTTTGCATTCCAGTAATATTTTTCTTCATTCGCTTTTTTACTGGTTTGAGTCCAAGCCATTTTCCATGAAAACTAGAAATACATGTGGTATGAGATGGGGTTGACATACCACAGAACAACCAACCCCTTTACTGTAAGAAAATACATGGATTATGGATCAGCTAGTAGGTAATTATACATAACTTTTATACCTCTTTGGAGTAAATTTTCACCCCAAATGGATAGAAATTTTTAGTTTTGACATCACCATGACTGACCTAATCATTACACTAAGTTTCCTGGTGTCTGTCAAAACCTCTTTCATTTCAGTAGACATCATAGTCACGTATTGTGAGACACTTAGATCTGTCTTTGTTCTAGTCAGCCAATCACTGGCCACAGAAGTGGCTGCTCATTTAAATACCCATCCTTATATAAGAGTACAGCTTGACTAAGGCTACAGGCATTTGCAGGCAGGCAGGCAACCAAGCAGTTTGGCAATCTGGTTATAGGAAACAATGGCTGCTAATAAGAGATACCTTCGCAAGAAAAAGCGACTCAGGGTAAAGACCCGGAGAAGGCACACAGGGCGAAAGAGAACTATGAAGTCTATGAAAAACATCAAAAGGCAGAAGCGCTCTGTGAGAATTGGTGCCAAGATGGCAACAAGGCTGAGAACTGGCAGAATGCGAATGCGAATGACCAGAGATGCTTGGGGCATGCTGCACTCCTTTGTAGATGGCATCTACAAAAAAGTGTCTGGGGAAGCTGAGCGCCTCAGGAGAAAAGGTGGGCGCCCCTCCATAATCTCCTCAGATGTGCAAAGTGCCTTGAGACAAGTCATGCCAAGGAAATATACCAGGCGAGTTGCCTACAGCAAATCTCGTTAGAAAGACGTTCTTTCCCTTCTCTACGGCTGGTATAAGAAGAACATAAGAAGGGAAAAGAATATACCCCAGCCTGAAATAAACTTCAGTCTTCTGCCTGCCTAAATAACAAACATGGCCTTCAAATTGCCAAAGAATCCTGTAAGCAAACTTTTTTTAAAAAACAGAAGACCGACCAACCAACCTCATTATCAACTACGAGTTCTTCAGTCAACAAACTGGGAGAGACCACCAAATCCATCACTATGACAACGTTGTCATCATAATAAAACTCAACCTTCTATTGAGGCACTTGAGATATTTTCTGCTATGCACAGAAGTGAAATTCCAGAGACCTTCCATCTTTGTGAACTTGGGCCAGCAGAGAGAATACAGTCTGACCATACTTAGAAATGTGAGGTGTCTACTAAAGGGAACCTTTCCCTTACAATAAAACAGGATTAGCAGGATTGTTCCGTTGCATGTCTCTTCTTTATAATGGGAACTGTAAGGGTATACATGTTTGAAAACCATTTAAAAAGTATAGGATGGTCCCTGCCACACGGCAGGAAAAACGACGGCAGAAGTGCGGCTAATCTTAGCCGCACCAAACTAGAGACGCCGCGGCGGGATTCCATGGATCTCCTAAGCCGCAGCGCTGTTGCTCCCCGGCACAATCAGATGCCGGGGAGAAAGCGACGGTGGGAGGAGGGGGAGGCTGGCGAACTGCGCATGCCCACACATGCGCAGTTCGGCCAGGAGCCGGGGATGCGCCAGTGAAAGAACTCGCCGGCGATCCCACGGCTGCACTTGCCGCGGCCTTTCTGGATGAACCACCCAGGTAGGTGGTTCTTTTTTGGGGCGGGGTTTGGGGCGGGAGGGACGGATCGGTGATGGGCAGGCAACGCTTCCCAGATGTTGCCGTGGGGTCGCGCCCATTTGCCGCGCATCCGATCTGTCCCTCTCCCGGCCCAAATCCTTGCGTGTGACCGGGGCCGATGATGGAGACACCAACCACTCATGGACTCCTCTTTGAGATGAGGCGACCAGAAACATATACAGTATTCCAAATGCAGCCGTACCATAAATATATACAAAGGCATTACACTAAGGCTATTTTATTTTCAATCCCTTCCCTAATAATCCCTAGCATGGAATTTGCCTTTTTCACTGCTGGGACACATGTAACATTAACAATGACTGAGCCACCATGACTCCAAATCTTATTATTATTTACTATCAGTTCAAATATCCTCAACAAGCATCCTTCAAAAAAGTTGATAAACCAGTTTACATTTCTGAAGAGATGCCATCTGACCAGGTTCTGTTCCACTCACTGACCACATATGGTGCATGCAGAACTACACCTTTGAAGAGAGTTATAGTTCTTTTCCTTTATCTGGGAAGCAGAAAGTGTGGAGCATTCTGAAATAGATAATTAATCTCTATTGCTATCTATAGTTTCATAGTTAACACTGTCTTGGAAGAAGCGTAAAAACACATTCACACCTTAGAAAATGGGTGATTAATCAAATGACAATATGAATGGTAGACAAACACAAAAATGACTGCAAGCTGGAGCTATTTATGAACAGCCACAGTTTATGCATGAGGAAGTTATTTGTCATTTATAAACTGCACTTTTTAGTTATGTCAAGAAGCTCCTAAAACTTTTGTATTATTCTGGTTCCAGTCATTACTAAGTAGAAGAACACATATTTCCTTCTTTCTCAGGCTACCTTCACTCAAGCAGTTACTCCACTAGTACAACCCTAAGTACAGTCACACCCTTAGAAATACACTGAAATCAACAGACAGAAGGGTGTAACCCAGAGGTCATTTCGGGGGGGGGACGCGGGGGAACGCAGTTCCCCCGGGTGAGGTGCAGGGGGCGGGGCACATGACGAAGCCCCACCCCCTGCTTCCGGCCGCCCCGCTTCCAGTCCTCATTCAGCCAGGAGGAGGCAGGAGAAGAGGGAGGGTAAGTTGCTTCCTCCCCGCCTCTCCCCACCCCTGCCTGCCTGGGGCCAAGGAGGGCCTTGGCGGGGCTTCCTCGCACTCCCGCTGGCCTTGCAGGTCCACCGCCGCCGGGCCCCTGATGTCAGGGGGTGTGGCATATGCTAATGAGTTATGCTAATGAGTTCCCCTAGCTCTTTTTCTACGAAATGACCCCTGGTGTAACCTAGGGGTCCCCAAGCTTTTTGAGCCTGTGGGTACCTTTGGAATTGTGACACAATATAATAGGCACAGCCACGATGGCTGCCATAGCTTACTTTCAGTCACACCCTGAAGATTCTTGTGTTGCAGGAGTAGCTACTACTTTAGCTACACTTTGAGAAACCTACAGGCCAATCAACTCTCCCATTGCCAATAACTCCCACCTGGCCCACCCACTTTCTAAAAATACATGGTGGACAACATCGTGCTCACAGGCATTACTTTAGGGACCCCAGTATAACTCCAGTTTGGACTGCTCTAAACACTTCTTAATCCCCTGCAACTTGTGTAGTACTTATACTGAGAGAAGAAACAAGCACACATACTTCTCTTTAAGCAGGAGTAATAATAGAGTGTTAACTGGTGCACAGCATTGTTTATGTAAATACAGCCTATAATTTATCTCGGGAAAATAATGTACTTGGCACAGTAGGAAAAAACGGGTAATGTGCTTTAAACAAATCCTAAAGAATACCCGAGCCCGGTTTTGTGAACACACAGCTTTGAGTGCCTGGAATTCAAAGCAATGCAATTTACCAGGAAGCAGCAAGACCGAACCAGAAAATTAGTGACAGCAATAGCTTCTTAACCGAGATCGGCCCCTTTCAGTTAAAGGTGGCGTTAAGGTTATCTTTCGTCCCCAAACGGAAGATACCGCTGCACGAGACTTCCGATTACTACTATAGAAACAGCCTAGAATCTGTTATTACGATTCACTCTTTATTCTTCAGGCTTTACTACTACGCATGCGCCCACTAAGCTCTCTTCGCTTCCAACCTGCAGTCTCATCTCAGAGACTGTCGAGCTTTTTAACGCATGCGTTGTGGTTCTGTGACATCTGGAGCGCTCGCCTCATGACGCACGGGTCACGCGCTGAAGTTTTGGCAAGTTCGCGCGTGCGCAAAGCGATTCGAACCTGCTCAAGTTGCCACCGCATTAGCGGGGCTAGTAAGAAAGTTACAGATGGAGCCTGCCTCTAGCGTGGAAGGTAGGAGAGGTGGTCGTTACGCCTTCCGTTTACATGCATTAGTAAGGTGGATGCTGGGGTTTCTAGTGGCAGACGCTCAGCGCTGGATATTCTTCCTTTCCCACCTTTGGGATTACCACCTTCATTTCTGCCCTTGCTTCCTCTAGGCTGCTCCAGTCTCTTGTGAGCACAAGGATATGACCAATGAAGGGACTGTTAAAGCGGAGTTTGGGCTTGCTAACGGCTATCGACCTCCCTCTAGAAGTTTTCTGGGTTCAGTTTGAAACTATGGCTCTGCTTCGTAGCATAATTATGGGAGCCTAAATCATAAAATAAAGTGACAGGGATCCAGGTGAATAATGCGAGCCAGCCTGATCTAAAGGAGAGAGGCTGTGGATTGGTCCTTGGGTTCAGGATCTGTGTCCGACTATAATATGGTTGGTGGTTCCCCCCACCCAAATCACACACTTAACAATGTCCATAAGAATGCTGATGGTAAAGAGAGGAAGATTACTCCTGTCATGAATTCTGAAAGGTATAATGAAATTTCCTGAGGATGATGGTTAGTAATCAGTTGCCTTTATTCCCTTTGTTGCTTTTTCAGCTGTTCCAAATGAATAACTCTGATCTCTTCATTATCCCAGTTTGGATCCCCCTCCCCCCCCGTGTGCTGTTATTGTTAGAATTAGCTGGTGGAAAGAGAGCTTCGCAGGCTGGTAGGTCCCCATCAGGCAAAGTAGCAGAGTGTCTTCTTACTCAGAAAGGTACTTAGATACAGGAATTTTAGCTTTAAAGATCTGGTGGCTTTAACTTTGTCCGGTACCACAGATCCTTTTGTAGAGACTGTGGCAATGATATGGTATTTACTCTAAAGGAAAATGACCCTGAAGGTAGGATGACTCCCTTAAAAATGTTACACATAAAGCAAAATTTAGTACTGGGCATAACTGTTAATTTGTATGTGAATGTAAGATGACCTTTCCTTTTTTCAACTGGTATACTTGGAAAAAACCTAGTCTTGCATTTGAGTTTGGTATAGTGGTTAGGACTGTAATCTGGGAGAACCGGGTTTGATTCCCCAGTCCTCCACATGTAGCTGCGGGCATGACCTTGGGTCAGGCATAGTTCCCTCAGAGTTGTTCTGGAAAGAGCAGTTCTTGAAAGAGCTCTCTCAGCCCCACCTACCTCACAGGGTGTCTGTTGTGGGGAGGGGAAGGGAAGGGAGATTGTAGGCCACTCTGAGACTCCTTCGGGTAGTGGAAGGTGGGGTATAAATCCAATCTCTTCTTCTTCTCCTCTAAATACAATAACAAGTGTGTGTATAGTGTATCAGTATGTGGATACATTTTGTGAGGGTCTGTTATACATACCAAAGTCCCCCTCTCAGCAGTTGGTTATCCAATTGGATAGAGAAGATGTTGTTAACATAGGAGAAGTAGGGCTGACCGCATTGTAGGAGATGGTCATTAAATTTCTTCAGCAGAATTCATATTAGTATCCCAATTATTGTAACTTTCAATTTTTAAAAATTATTATGATTTTATAAGCTACCTCAGGCAGTTTCCTGAAGAGGTGGCATACATTTTTAAAAATAATAATAATGATCAGTCTATGGCTATTGGATGTAAGGTGCTTGAGCATGTAGGTATCTATGAAGCAGCAGGCATTTTGGGATAAAACAGATTATTGCAACCCATTTCAATTTAGTATTTTGCTTCATTTAGAGACTGAAACTGCCTTACACCTGATGGGCAAATGTTGCCAGGGCAGAGTGCCAAAGCTTTTGAAACAGTCAACCATGATATCCTTTTGGACTGGTTGGTTGGAATGGGGGGCTGTGGGGATCCAGAGAATCACTATCCACCTTGTATTCTACCCCACCTCTGTGGACATGGCAAAACACCTCTGATGCTGAGAGGGAAGAAGGTTGACTCCATCTTGTTCCTCTGTTTTCCAAGCCTCTCCTCTGTGGCCTGGAGACAACCTGGAGCCTCCTCCCTGGCCTGCTTTTTGCCCCCTTATATATGGGCCATGTTTAATCATGTCCAAGCCCAGCAGCCCCATCCCTGTGGCCTAGCTGGTCTAAGCAAGCCACAGCAGTCAGCAGTAGCCCATTTAAGTGGCCACTTGGTGAAGTGTTGGTGCCATACTTCATCCAGTCAGTTGGTGGTGTCCTGCAGGGAGGCTAGGTTGCTCATGATGCTATATTAGGGTCTATGGAAGAACCTTTGTGGCTGCTGTTATCTGTGATGGATTTGAAAAAGATTTTACTGTCATCTTGTTGCCAGAAGTCTTCAGCCATACGGCAAATGAAAGATGATAGCAGTAATTGAATTGGTAGCCTTGATGCTATTTGCTTAAACACAGATTTCCAGGTTACAGTGACAAAAGATTTACCTTCTTGTATATACTTTTTTGAAAAACAAATTTACTATCATGTGCTGTGCTCAGTTTTAAAGGAAATTTCTTAAGATAACTTTTTTGGAATCAACATTTTTAGTTGGTGTGTGCAAGCTTTTGAACTGTCCAAAAGCTCCTTTTCTGTGTAATGTGATGAAGAATTTTGTGCAACTCATTAGCTTGGTTTAATAAAAGGTATTCCCAATACCTTGTTTGGTTCTGGACAGAAGAGAGAACCAGATAACAAATCTCTAAAATGAATTTTATCCATTAGGTCAGGGCTCTTTTTTGGAATGGTACCATTTGTTTGAAATTCTCAAGCGTTTGTGACATGGTGAAGATAATCTTTAACATATATAAAATCACAGTATAAATCTGTCTAACACGTCCTTCCATTTCTACAAAAGTTAATGGCTACACTTCTGTGTACACGTTTGCCTCTTATCGTATTGCTCAACTTGAATCGGTCCATTAAGAGACAGATAAAGCAGACCTTGAATTCATGAGCACTAACCCTTAGTTATGCTTAACTCTAACCAAGGTTTCAAGCTGGTTAAAATTGGTATGTGTAGTAAGATTTTAACCATGGAATTAAGATGGGCAAGAGATGAGGGAGAGTGTACAATCCCATTGCCTGCTTCTAACCCAGGGGTGGCCAAACTGTGGCTCGGGAGCCGCATTCGGCTCTTTCACACATATTGTGCGGCTCCCGGCGGGGCGGCCGGGGAAGCTAAATATCATTAGCAAACAGATTATCATTGGAGAAATAAATATCATTATCAATATCTGCTTTTACCCCTTTTGTTATTATCATTGGCAGTCTCGTTTAATGTTAATAAAAAGCAAATTTGCATATTTCCCAGTAAAAACGTGTAATATTTGTTCATGTCTTGTGGCTCTCAGACATCTGGCATTTATTCTATGTGGCTCTTACATTAAGCAAGTTTGGCCACCCCTGTTCTAACCCAAGTGTGACCTTCTAGCTGCTGCCCCCTAGAGGTTCCTGTGCTGACTGCGTTGCTCCCTATTCTTCTCATCCAGTTTCTAGAAACATGTTTTATGTTCGTCACTTAACTCACTTGTTTGTCTGAAATGCCCCCCTCAGCTGCAATAGTGTTATACAGAGGGGTGCAAGCATTCTATCATGTTTTCACCTTCACTATCAAAACACTTTTTTTATTTTTGAGGAGCCGTACATGCCAGGTTCTGTCAAGGCACATTCTCACCTGTGGTTGGTGATGTGCTAATAAGTGTATGACTGGTCTGTGGTTGTCAAAGATCCGACTCCTGGGACTGTTCTTCCTAGCAGCAGTACATGTTGAAATGCAGCTTGGCTTTGGCAATGTTAAACTCCTTAAGTGACTGCCGTTGCCACTTTGTCTTTGCTGTCATGTGAATCTGTTTGAAGTCACACTGAATGTGGCGGTGCTTATGTGCATCTTTCAGAGAGAAATCCAGGTTTAAGAAGTTCAGGGATGGGTATGTAGTGTCGTTTACTAGCCCAATTCTCAGTAATTTGTAAATCTTTGTTAAGTCACAACTGTAGCCCTTATAGATTCACGCTGTCATCCTATCTACACTTACCTAGAAATAAGCTCTATTGAACTTAGTGGGCTTCTTTTGGGTGAACATGCTTGAGATTAGGGTGTCTGTCTTCTCTTCCCAGTTTTACTTAAGGGATCTGTTAGCCTTGAAGATACCCCTTTGGACACCATCATACACATTAGTATACTGTGTCTCATTCCCTGCCCTCTTCCCGTACTTCTTGAATGTTCTGTAGTTTCAAGAAATTTGATAACTCAGTCATGATCAAACTGTGTGCCAGCATGTTAGCATGGATAAAGAGATCTTTTCTGCCATAGCAGTGTAGTGGTTAGAGTGTTGGAATAGGATCTGGGAGACCCGGTTTCAAGTCTGCACTCTACCATGGAACTTGCTGGGTGATACTGGGCCAGTCATCCACAGGGTTTTGAAGGTGAAATAAGGAAGGAAGGAAGAACCATGTAGAATACTCATAGCTCCTTGGAAGAAGGGTGGAATAAAACTATACTAGATAAAAAGCAATTAGTGCATTATAAGAAATAAACCATTGGAATAATCAAAGGCTCCTTTCGGGTTTGGGAATGTATCCTGTCAATCAGCAGCCTATGCAGAGTTATGGAGTGACCTTATCACCCCAGTGCAGATATGAACCAGAGATTTCTCTGAATTATTGGTCCTGTCTTTCTTCATGGATCAATGCTAGGTGCATCTAAATCTGCCCCTTTATAAAAATCAGTCGTTGTCATACATCAGTAGTCATTGTAAATTGGAGTCATCATAGTGGTACATAGTGGTACTTGCTGGGCAAAGTTGGAAATGCACTTTTATCCTTAAGCTCCAACACCAACTTTAGGAATCAGCACCATGTTCTTAATTACAAACTCATCACAGGCCTGAATAAATGCTATGTGTGTTTAGGTTCTTGGGCTACAAAGACTTTTAACAGCTGTGGTTGAAGACAGCATGTCTCTTATTCCTTACCCCCATTTATTTTCAGTTTGCATATTGCTTTTCTACTATAAATGGCTCAGAGCATCTTTCAGTGGAGTGGCATAAAAAAGTAAAAAATAAATCAGTCTCTACACCATGATTCAGGGCATGGAAACAGCAACTTCACTGTGCGTTAAGGAAGCAATAGTGATACCATTTCTAATACTCTTGTGGATACTTTTTCCTTTTGTTTCTGCCGCCTAATACTGATCACTGTTGGGGATATAGCAGATAAATGCCAACTAAACTTGCACAGGTGAATGGCTATGACAGCAGTCCTAAAAACTCTAGGAAGTGAGTGCTGTTGAGCTTAGTGGGACTTACAGCTAATAAAAATGCTTAGAATTGCACTCTGTGATATTTGGATCTTAACAACCTGTAAGGATTGTGGGTTCAGGTCCTACACTGGACAAGCATTTCCATTTCACCCTGTGGTTAATTATTAACCTAAACCAAAGTACTAAGAAGTTTCTAGCAGCAGTACATTCTTTTCAGTGTACGGTAAAGTACTGTGGAATGTGGAGGTAATTCAGCTTGGTCTGCATGTATGATACAGGACTGATAGGAATCTTTTTTTAAAAAAAGTCAAGAAATGTCTCTGTATTTCAGAGTTTTCCTATGTTTTCTTTTATGAACTGGCCATAGTTTCCCAAGGGACTGTGTCACCTGCCATCTCTCAGTAGCCAAGTTAGTCATTCTGCAGTGGCTATTGATAACCTTGGTCAAATGAAACTGTTCAAGGTGGGGAGCATTGTATCAGGGTGTTAAAAATTGAAGGACTCACACGAGACACGATCTCTTTGGGGTAGAAAATCTGTCTGCCGCTTAAAAGCAGCGAGTTTATTTATACACATTCTGCCCCCCTCACCGTGAGGTGAGGCTGTGGCTTTGCATGTACAGAAACAGGGAAAAATAAAAATTTAGGCAGAATGCTTGCACAGTATCTTAAGACTTGGTTGCAGTTTTAGGATGTGCAAAGGTCAGGACTCACAGGGTGTGTTCAGACGCGGCATTTACAACGGAATCTGTGCCGGTTGCAATCGTTGTACTTACCGGCGTTCAGACGGCGAACATCTGTCTTCCCTCCCTAACCGTTGTAAAGCCCTTTAAACCGTTGCACTCTGCCACTAGGTCCCCAAGTGGTGGTATCCTGAGTGCAACGGTTGCATTCGCTTAACCCCGCCGTCTGATCGCTCTCCACCGGTGCCTAGCCACTTCCGTTCGGAAGCCTGAGACTTCCGATTTCCCCCCGTCATTTTTTTTTAAACTAAGCGATATGCGCTTGGGCGAAGCTTCGCCCTGAGCGTTTGTTTAAAAAAAAAAACACCCTTAGTGTAGCATATCGGAGGAGTCCGGGACTTAAGGGAGGCCAGTTTGGTCTTTAAACTTTAAAGGTAAGTCCTTACCTTTAAAGTTTAAATGTAATATGGAGTGTTTTGAGCATGTGCAAAGATAGCCATTCTGTGGATGGCTGCCTATGCGCATGCTCAAACTGAGTTTTTTTTAAAAAAAGCCGACGCCCACAGCGTGTGAGCAGGCATACAGCGATGGGATCCGCAAAATGGAGGTGAGTGTGATCACGTTTCAGCCGGCATAAACTGCACCGGTTCCAACCGGTACACTTTATGCCGGCAGAAACGCCCGGTCTGAACGCACCCTTAGTGTACCAAAGTCACTCATCAACCCTATGTTTACAGAGTCTGGATGTGGCTCAGAACCAAGATTGGTGTGCCATATCGCTGATACTTACCCACAAAAAATATTGTTCTTCCTCTGGCTATTTTATGCTTTGTTCATATGGTTTTGCATTGCTCAACAGGTATTTGTTCTATCTGTGTTTTGTATTGTATGTTTCTATTTTGCCAAATAGAACTGAATTGCTGCAAAACCTGATTCCTGACTTACAAGACTATAAGCATTGTGATTTTTTTAGCAGACATGCTTGTCAGTATTCTCATAATCCAGTACTGCTATATTGCAAGAACACATGAGCCCCAAAGCAAAATGTAAGGTAACAGATTCAGCCAGTGAAAAAGGTGAAAATTGACTTCAAGGTGATGATAGAATAGTGAGAAGTTAAAGCTTTGAAGTCCCCCCCCCCCAGTGTTGTCGTCCCTGTGCTCTCTCTTCATTTGAATTGATATGAATGCAAGGTAGGAAAATCTCAAAACTTGAAACTTTTGCAAACTATGGAAAGAGACAATTTGCTGAACTGATTTTCGGAAACAACTGGCACTTAACACAGTGCCATGAAGCAAAGTAAACAACTTATGGCCTGATTCTATGCATGTTTAACTGAGAAGAGAGTAAAGTCCACCAGAAATTCAGTGCGACTGAAATTGCATGTGCATTGTAAAAATACAATTTGTAAATAAATTTTCTTGCATGGCCTATTTCAGAAACTTGATTCAACCACATTTAAAACTGCCCTTCTCTTTTGTCACATGTGCCAACAGAATGAGAAAGCTTGAAAATCTCTTTAAGTGGTACAAGTGAGTTCTCTCTTATTCCAATAACTGGGATCAGATTGCAGCCCTAACTGCATAAAAGTTAGTTCAAAGAATGAGGATTACAAGTTTCTAATGAGATACTTGTGTGTTGCCATCTCTGCCTCCCACTGATGACCAGTTCTATTATAACATTAGTTGTGGAGCCGTCTTCATCCAGAAGAACAATTTACATCCAGAATCACAAATGTGACACTATAACAGTGACACTGGTTAGTACTCATGCTTTTGTGCTAATTGGTATGTGCATCTGAGCTTTTGCCCACTGGTAGTAGAAGTATGTGGGGATTACATGAGAGGAGAAGCGGGGCAGGGGCCTGTTCTTATGGGTCCTGTGCAAGTTGTCTTCAGCATTGGGAAGGGGACCCTTGCAGGTGTCCCCTGAATAAGGGGACACTTGCAAGAAAGTTTAATCAGATTCCTAGTGTTTTGTAACCCATTAGATGGGAGGAGGAGGAGAGGGACAGCTATTTTGGGCAGCTTGTGAGGCCAGTGGGAACTCTACAAATACTGTCCGTGAGGATGGAGGGGCGGTCAGCAGGGCTGTTCTCATTTCAGGAACTGTGGCATAGAGCAGTCACATACAGGAAGGGTAGAAGTTATCCATATTCATGTGTGTGCCCCCCCCCCCCCGGGAATGGTGCTTAGATTCAGAACAAAAAAAAAGCCCAATAGGTAGATTAAGCATTTGTTTCACAGTGCTTAGTACCCATGGTTCTCCTCTCCTCCATTTTACCCTCAAAATAACCCTGGGGTAGGTTAGGCTGAGGGTGACTGACCCAAACTCACCCCATGAATTTTCAAGACAAGCGGGGATGGGAACCTGGGTCTCCCTAGGTGTAGTCCAACACTCGAACCATCACACCACACTGACTCTCTTTTACACTGAGTTGGATCCAAGAGTTCCTTGCTGCTTAGCGAGTAGTCTCTGATGAAAGAAAAGAGTCCCTTGTTCCGACCCATTATTTAAAAATTTAAATAAAAGTAGTGTCAGCTTTGATACTACCTCAGTGTATCTAGCTGCCTGTGGGAAATATAAATTGTTGGTTGGAAATCAAGATAAACTGAACAGCTGTTTATAAGGTATCAGAGTGACAAGTGGACCCTGAAGTTAGTTGCAATTGTGCTTAAGAACAGTAGGCTTCATACAACAGCCTTCTTAACCTTTCTGTCCATTCGTGACTTGAAGATATTGTTTTTCTCTTGCAGGGGAACCCCATCTCAGACATGTTGAGAAGGACATTTTGATTCCCAAAATCATGAGAGAGAAGGCCAGAGAGCTGTGTTCAGAAAAAGTGGATGGTGAGAGTGAAATTTATCAAAATAACCATTCTAATTGTTTGTGTCCTGCTAAACGGTGTACTGTGGTTCCTTCAGGGGGGCTAGTTGGTTTTTTATAAATCCCTAAAGTGGCCTACTGGCCTAGCAGTTACATAGTGATACTTGAAGTCCCTACCGAATGCAGTGAACCAGCAAGAATTACTAACCCAGTCCTGTGTTTTAAACACGAAATAATCAGCTGCATTAGGAAAAAACAACAATAACTAAGAGGCAAATCTTTCTTGATCATAGCTTGTTAAATAGGGCCCAGAAGATTTTTTCCTGTCTCCCCCATCCCGTCTCCCCTGTTGCACCCTAGTTGGAGGTATAAAGGCCTAGAAAGCCATTTCCACCCAGAAGGTATTGTTTCAATTTTTCCTGCAAAAAACCTCTTCCCAATAAATATTTTATCTTTTAGAACCAGTGAAATGCTTCTTAAAGCAATGTTTTTCACACTGAAAATATATCACATGCAAAGTCCTCAAAACATGTGCATCATTTTTAATTTGTTTTTTACCTTCCATGCTAGTAAGATAAAAGACAAAATCTGAAACTAAAAAAATAAGCTTGGGACTACTTCATATGTTATCCTGCAGTAAACTCACATTTGCCACTGGGTACTCTGGCTGTGGCTTCCTGTCAAATCTAGGATTTCTGACCTATGTGTTTTTGTTTAAAACATATATTATGTCCCACCTCAAGGTGGGTAACAAGACTCAAGGTCGGTAACAATATAGCAACAAGTTGCAAGAACACAAAAAGATAAGTTTGCTTTTTATCTTCCTAACATGAAAGGTAAAAGACTAATTATAAATTATGGACATGTTTTCAAACACCAATTTGTTATATCCAAACATGCTTCTTAGGTGTATGCCTAAAAATAACAGTGTGCAATGTAACCTTGAAAATACCATGGTATGTTGCATTTCTTTGCTATACGTGGTGGGGATGGAATACCAGGGTGTGTGATTCTTCATTTGCATGCTTAAACAATCCTCCAGTGAGAAGAGAGAGGAATTTCCAGTGGCATGTGGGAGCTTAGCTCTGCTTGCATAACGCATCTGTAATCTCCAGTAGGCAAGGAGTTGTCTATTTTTGCCTATTAAGCACTAGAAGGCACCAGGTAGACCAATAACACTGTATGTGTTGTAATTATCAGTAAATATCAAGGTACTGAGGTTCTTTGGAATTAAGTCTTCCTCTTAATTGTTAGGTAAATTTTGTTTATGTGTGTTCTGAACCCTTAGCATAGGTTAAGGCATAAGCCAAAATAAGTGAAGGTTAAATTTGACTTATAATGGTGCATGATAATTGAGGGAACAAAAACGTTGAATCAAATGGCATAAGACTCTCACCTCTGTGCATTCAGCTAAACTGCCAATGTGAGGAGCAACTCCCCATATGTTTTGGAATTACAGGGGAAAGAGGTGTGATGTTGTGAAAATTGTAAAATAACCTAAGTCTTGTGAGCAAGAAAGAGAGAGGCTGAAAGCATTCACTCGGGAAGTAGGTCAGATAGCTGGGGTTACTTCCTGTACTTCCATGTGCTATAGCTGTTGCATTGGGTATGTAGATCAGCATGAAAAGACAACCTGGGTGATTTGAGATTCTGTCATTGTCTAAAATATAATTTGTAAGTGTCTAAGACCTAAGGAGCTTAGAAGGGTGCTTGACTGCAGAATTAGCTGCTAAAGAATACAAAGAGCTCAGATCATTATAATGTCTTAATATATGATCTATGGGGAAAAAAGTTTTAAAAAACACCTTGGTAATGATTTCCTTGCTTAATTTTTGCAGAAGAAAGGCTGGCAACGCACCTTAGATAAATGTATTCTGTGCACTGAAAAGCAAAAGAGCGATTGCATATCCATTGAAATCAAGGGCATGTTATAATTATTTAAAGCAGTAATTGGATTTACTGATATCATAGAGAACATACAGAAAGCTCCAGATGAATCCCATTTATACTTAGTGCAATCATCCAAAGCCATTAAAATATATGGGGCTTTTGCTATTTACTTAATAGGGTATTCATTGTTGGATACCAATAGGTGATACTTCTAACCAAGCATTGTGGGTCTAGCCAGATACGTACTCTTCTGCAACTCCTGGCATTTTTTAAAATCAGGCCATGTGGGAGTCTGGTTTGGGCTGGGATCACAATGTGAGGAGTGGGTTTAAGCCTTCCCCCAGTACCATTTTCCCAACCCGAAGTGGTCACAGGCAATGTTCCCTCTAAGCTGTGGAGTCTTGTGAGCAAAAATTCTACTTTGTGAGCTGCTGGCATTAAAGTTGTGAGCGAGCCATTTGGCTACTGCATATATTAGTTTGCTGTGGAGCCCTCCTTCCTGAGCTAAGACAAAACTCTGTGAGCTGGAGGCTAAAAAACTGTGAGCTAGCTCACACTAACTCAGCTTAGAGGGAACACTGGTCACAGGGAGCCATTATTTGCCCCATTGGGGAAATTTATGGCTTGAACCCCCTTCCCCTTGTGTCTCAGTCCCAACCTGAATTGGACTCCCATGTGGCTGATAATTAAGTTTTAAGAACATCGGGAGCTGCAGAAACATACATGTCTGGGTATATTGTTATGTAATATAGCAGTGTTATGGGGCATTCTTGGCATTGTTACTAACTGGTGACAGTTCTCTGTACACAATTCATTTTAGCCAGATTTTGTCTCCCTTCCCCTTTCTCTCTGTATTTTGTATTCCCCCCCCCCCCCCCCCCCCCCTTTCTTTTTGTTTTTTCCCTCTTTCTGTTTGGGGGGGGGGAACTAGAGGTGAGCCTAAGTTAGGTGAATTGTTTGGGACAGGATTGTTGGGAGAATGTTGTTTAAATAAGCAGCTTGCTTTAAACCCTTTTGAAAATGCAAATAAAATGTAAGATTTATTTATTTAATTTAAAACATTTCTACCCTGCCTTAACTGCTTGGACCCAGGGTGGCATACAGTGTAGCCACCAAGTTGTAAAGGCATAAATTAACAAAATTAAAACAGGTTAAAATACATAGATTACCAAATGAAAAGTATTCAAACGTAACACACAGGACTTAACACATGCATCCAGACTTAACACACACAGTAGGGGTCATGGCGCAGTGGTAGAGCATCTGCTTGGCATGCAGATGGTCCAAGCTTCATCCCCTGGCATCTCCAGTTAAAGGGATCAAGTTGTTACTGGGTGTGAAAGATCTCCACCTGAGACCCTGGACAGCCACTGCCAGTCTGAGTAGACAATACTGACCTTGACAGACGATCGTCTTGATTCAGTATAAGGTGGCTTCATGTGTTCATGTGATCAGCAGACTCACAGCTAGAGCTGCTGTAGAAATTCACCTTCGACCAAAGGCTGTCTGGAAGAGAACTGCCTTACATATTTCCTAAATCTATCAAGGAAAGAAACCATTGCCACCTGCTCTGACAGTCTATTCCAAAGGAGTGGACCCACCACAGAAAAGGCCTGGGATATCACTGTGGCAACGTAAGACCTCTTTTATTCCATCTACGAAGAAAAATAGGAAGAGTTCCAGATCAGCAAAATTGTTATGGGATCTGAAAAGCTGTGCATATAAACAAAAGTTAAAAGAAGGGGTCTGGTTTGAAACATAAGAAATATTGACAGGATTCAGCAAAGGGAACAAATGTGCAATTAAATAAATGGACTGAAATGAACAGAATACAAAATGTTCAATCTGTGTAACATTGCCATCAGATGTAGCACCAACCAACAGGGTGTTCTTCCATATGAGTAATTTGGCACAGAGCCACAGTTTTGGCTGTCTACAGTGATGTGTTGGTGATCTCCATTTCAATCACTGCTACTCATGACAACACAAGCATAAGAAACAGAACTACTATCTTGCTGAATATGAGCAACTTCAGTGGCTGTGGCTCCAAACTCTACAACACAAAATGTCAGTTGTACTGAGGTATTTCCTACTTAGGTACTACAATCAACAGAAACTCTGAAAATGCCCTAATACAGCTGTGTTCACAAAGGTCTAGATCCAATCATGAAAGAATTGGAGGTTGCTATAAAATCTGGTAACTAAGGTATAATTGAAATATCCAAGATCAGCACAGACACATCCTAGCTGTTCTCTTCTAGGAATACCTTAATCTGGATGGAGCACTGACTAGCAATATGGCTAATCTTAAATTCTCCAGCTCCCATTTACAGACATGGGCATCATATTACAAATTGTATTCAGATCTCTGAGATACCTCATTCTCAGTTTCATATGACAAGTCTACTCTGCTGTGTATGTGTGTTTCTCATTCACGCAAACATGGAGTTTTGTCCCCATGTAGAAAAAATTGCATTCTTATTCCCAACTGCACTGAAATTTGTTAAGAAAGCTATGGAATATTGAACACAGCTGTTCATATAATTGTGATACATTGTAAATTCTGCAGTGTTCAAGTTTACACTTCCACATATGTGTTGTGATCATGTGACCTAGGTGTGAATAAAACAAAAACAAGGAGAATTCCCTTTCCATATATTTTTATTAATCTGATTGCTCTGTTGCAGAGTTTTCATTTATCTGAACTTTGGGTCAAGCTCAGTATTGAGTTATAAACTACACATATGGTATTAATGCTGCTTATAGGGTTTGTCTTAAATCTAGATTCTTTATTCAAGTATGTGCAAATTTGAATGTTCTGATTGTAGAAAATGGCTGTTTCAGTAGAGATGCATTCAGATTCTTTTGGGAATGCAGATTTCCCTTATTTGTACTTCCCACATGTAGAAGATTTGCCTTGTCTGTATTTTATGTTGAGTAGATTTCAAGAACCACCATGTCCCATGTGTTATGGTTATTTAAGCCATGATTACCAGGTTGCAGTGGTGGGAAGAAGGGCTTTTTTATCAGTTCCACTTGGTGAAAAGGCGGTGGTGTTCTCTTTCCAATGCAGACCTAGCAACCATATTTATTTATTTATATCCTGCCCATCCCGCGGGCAGGCTCAGGCAGT